TTATACAAATAACTGTATATAAGAAACATGTAAATTTCATGTAAAAATGGTTGCAATTTTTGGTAGCTAAAAGAAGTGTACAAGTTGTATTGAAATATAATATATATACATAATTTAAGAATGGAGCATATAATTTCTGATCTATTTATACATGAAAAATTCAAGAATTTGTAAAAAGAAATTATTTTGGGGAAAAAAAGAAAGTAAATTTCATTAGCTAACTAGATACTTTTACTAGAGAAGCCAACTATTTCCAACATTTAACTAGGTACAGAACTACATTTAGGCATGGTGGTGCTGCTGCATTTCACACAATCACACAATTGTAACATTGCTACAGTTTTTCTGAGTTCCATTAGGTCACTAGTAACTTGGACTGAGTGGTTAAAAAAATGTTCACGGTAAAATTAAAGAAATAGAAAATCATTCCAGTTAATGCCCTTCAAGACCACAGCCGTAACTGACTAAAATAGTGACTTGATGGGTAAACAGGTCCTAACCTTCAGATAAATAATTTACTTTATAATGAGTGCTTGATTCATTTTTTTAATCCAAACATGAAAGTATCCAGATTATTATTTTATTTGGTCTAAGTTTCATACCTCCTTCACACCCTTCTCTAGTTGCTTCTCTAACATGTAGGAAAAAGAAAAAAGTATTTTCACAAAGTTTTTGCATAAAATTTGCCGGTCATAGTGTAGCTTGTACTAAGCATAGGATCATTTGTTGTATTTAGAGGCATGGATTTCCTCACCATCAATTTTGTAAAAACCAAGAGAACACACCTTGTGTGATAAATAAAAAATTATATCAAACTGTAAGTGAAGCTGATCAGAAATGTGAATCTAAGTACAGCAAGCAAAATGCCTTAAAATTGCCATAAGGTAAAATATTTATTAAGTTTAGATAAGTTGAGGGCCTTTCATTTCATAGTTGTGGGAACTAAACTATGCATTCACAATTCAGTAAATCCTAAGATTATTTTTAAAAGGCCTACAATTTTCAAAAGAATATTATTCTTTAATTACTATATTTCTGGAGCCATCACATGAGCATTGTTTATTCAGATTATCTTTTGAAAGTTCCATAATCAGAGAAAATAGGATTAATACAGTCAACTAAAATGACATAATTATGTGCATGTAGCTGTAAGTCTTTATATTTTTATGCTTAAAAGAAAAGTTGGGAACCCTTACAATGTAGCAGAACCACAAATTGACATATTAATATATGTCTCTAAGTATAAAACGTGTCTCTATTGGTCTTAATCTCTATTAGCTTTACAAGTGTTACTAAAGGAGCACACATGAAGGCATAATAACACATAGGCACAAGCCCTATCCCTAACTCTCTTGCACACCATAGTGATGTAGGTAGGAATGCTGCCCATATCTTTTTACTATACAGTCAAATATACAGAAGCAAGCCTGAGTTTTGAATGATCTCAAAATGATACACAAAGATACATATTATCACGCTACTTGTATAAAACGAAAGTTAAATACATACATCACTTTTTCTTATATGCCTGAAAAGTACATGTTTCAAAACAAGTAGGAAGTGACATGACAGGAAATCATTAAAAGCACAGTGTTTCATTAGTGAGCTGATCATGAATCAGAAATTTTTTTCTAAATTTCCCAAAATTTACCTGAAAAGTGGTTTTGTGCTCAGTATTCTAAATTAGATAACAATTTAAATGTAATATTTGGACAGATACTTTGTTTTGATCTCATTCTAGACCGTAAATGATTTGAGTAGATCTCAATTAAAATCTCTGCATTCATTACTACAGCAGAAGTTCCAATTGGCTTTTTGTTTTTATCATCTCATACTATGTATATATGCTAAATATACTCTTAGGTGATACTCATGCCTTTATTTTATATGGATGTGTTCAATTCACATAGAAACAATTAAATTAACACAAATACTTTAGTACAAGTTGGAAGAGAAAAATACTTTTGGTTACATTTCAAAGTTTAAGGAAAAGAATGCATTAACCTAAGAGAAGTATTTAATGGTATACAACAGAATGGTTTTATCTGATTTTTAACAAATTTATTTCTGTCAATTTCCTAGAAACTTAAATATAAAGAAAAAACATATCATTTATTTGTTAAACATAGGAAATAGAAAAGCACATTTCTGACAAAAGGTTTTTGATTTAGTAACTACCTAAATTTGCAAGTAAACTTAATCTGTATATTTTAATTAAACAAATAATCACAAATTGATGTTTTTGTTATTTTTAATTGCACAGAGTTTAAACTATCTAAACAAATTCTACTTTATTCCAGGGTAAATAAATTCATTTTATGAAAATAAATATATAACTTTACTATATTTTTGTTACTATTTTTTTTTCTGGGTGCATGCTTAGAATAGACTAATAAGCACATTCATTAAAATTACATTTAAGTGGACCAAATTAAGATTATTCACATAGTATTGACTTTTTCCCATGATGTAATTTGAAATGTGTAAACTGCCACTCAAAATAGAAGTGCAATACTTGATATTTAATCATTTGGCAATCCTTTAGATCTAGGGAAATTAATGCACCATTGTTTGAAGTGAAGCTTCTCATCATGATAGCATATACGTAACAAATTTTGTATGATACAAACTTTACAGCAAGCTATTTGAATGTTTATTTTAAAAATCTCAAAATGACATGGAAACATGTTTACTGTATAAATAAAAGCACTTATACATTAAGAGTGTACATTATTTGATAATTTACCTTATCATAAGGAAAGTGGGGTATGAGTTAGCCAGTACAAACTAATCCTATTTTCACATTGTAGCAGTATTTTTCCCTTAAACTTTACCTAAAAGCATCCCAAAAATGAACCAGGTTTCAACAGAAAAATCTTGGTAAAATATCATTTATACTTAAGTGCTTGAAAGTTGTTCATTTTAAAACTGTAAAATAAGCCGGGCACCAGTGGTTCACACCTGTAATCCTAGCTACTCAGAAGGCTGAGATCTGAGGATAACAGTTCAAAACCAGCCCAAGCAGGAAAATCCATGAGACTCTTATTTCCAATTAACCATAAGAAAACCTGAAGTGGTGCTGTGGCTCAAGTGATAGAGCATTCACTTTGAGCTGAAGAGCTCTGAAACAGCACCCAGGCCTAGAGTTCAAGCCCCATGACCAACAAAAAAACAAACAAACAAAAAATATACAATAATTGTCTGAGAAGATTATATCATCATGGTACTCAAGTTTGGCCAAAAAATGAGGCTGTATGATCAAAATTTTGTAATAAATAAGCTGGGCCATATAAAATCCCACATGAATGTATGAACTTTAGGTTTCTATGTGCTAGTGTACTTTATTAAAGCTCCTTGGGGGAGGTGTAACTTCTAGGTGTTTGGCCATAAAAATGCTGCACAGATCTCCTAAGACCAAAATTCAAAGAAACATCTTTCAAGAAAGATGGGTTATGGCACAGACACGTCTATGAATAATATTATGTAGCACTTGTAAGTTGAAATGCCAGGTTGTTGGAGTCACACCATCACCATTCTACAACATGCATAGTATTCTGTGTGTTTACACTACATTACCATTTTTTCCTAGGAAATTTTCAATTAGAAGGGATATATTTTATGGCCAAGTTAATGTTAAGTTAATATGTAAGTCTATAAACAACATCCAGAGAGGACAAGTATATAATGTACTAACCCCTTCTTATATAACTGACCAAGCAATTTTGATGACAAGGATGCTATAACATAATACCAATGTCAGAGGGACTCTACATTACTCCCTTTCTAAGACTTTAAAAGCAAAACCTGATTTAAAATCCTGTATATTTGTAAAAGGTTTTTGTCAAGATACAGCTATCCACCTTCATTCTCAAGAAACATGGAGGTTCATAAAAACTATATATTATTTTATCACATCATGATAAAATTATCTTCATTTGTATTCATTTTTAGCTGAAAAATATGCAGTATCTAAAAAAATGTAGTTTATTAACTTTACATTGAGAAAGACTTAGGGTGACTGCCAAGATATAAACTAAATTAAGTGTCGCAATTTATACCAAGGATCTCAAATACTAAGAACTTGGTGATTCTGCTTTGCAATTTCTGTAAAAAAAATAAAGCAGAAATAATGCTATAGACCTTCTTGTGTTTAATACCCTAAATGGCACAGATACAATCAAGAACTTTACCAAATCAGAAACACTAACTGATGTTTTTCAATAAAACAAACTTAAAATTCATGAAAATTTAAGTGAAGTGATTCTTACATTTTTATAAACAGCTAACAGTGTTAGAATTTATCAGAACAAATTTAAATGCTGACATTTCACAGCAAATGTGCATCATCTCCAAAACACAAAACTCAAGATTTAAAATAAAGTAATATTTTAGATTATCTCTGTTTTCACTAATGAAATAGCATATGGAGAAAAACATTGTTTATTTGAGAACGTTTTGGTTGGGCATGGTGAAGTACATGAAGAATCTTTGCACTCACCAGGCTGAGGCAGGAAGATGGAGAATTGGAGACTGATATGGGATATGTGGGCAGACCTTGTCTCAAAATAACAAAACAAACAAAATTAAGCAATAAGCACTTTTGTTTTTGTTTCCACAGAAGACAAAGTACATTGAAGGAAACTATGCACCAAAAAATGCACTAGACTCAAAATAGATTTGGGGGAGCTATATAATTTTCTTTCTTATAGACAGACTTACAGTGTCCTTTTCTCTGACTATGTGATCAAAAAAACAAATATTATTACAAAGATGGCACCAAGTCCATACTTATGACTCTTAAATACCCACAACTACAAATAAAAAATTCAAATATATAATTTGTAATTTTCAAATAAATCATATAATCTAGCTTTTATCATTTGCCTTCTTATACAATCTTTTGTATGAGTACAATCCTCTATTTTTGTTAAAAAATTAAGGTTAAGCAATATTGATAGCAATTAGTATTATTTATACAGTGATAACTTTTGCAAAAGAAATAACATCAATTAAAACATCTTTTATTGCTTTTAACTGTGTTTTATAGTAAAAACATACAGAAAGAGAAGAGATTTATTAACAAGTAGAAACATAAAAAGCCCCAAACCTTTTATTTAAGGAAGTCCAGTTCATTTCTTCCATGCAAAAGGATTCATAGTGTTTCTAGAGCTTTCAAATTCTAGGCATTCAGATCATCATAGTGCCCTGCAAAAACTAATTCGTGAATACAATTATCATATGGAAAGCACAAAATTGTTTAATTACATTCCATAAAAACTCTACCATAAAATAGAAACTTTAAAACTTTACAGGTTTGTAAGCCAATATATACCAGTCAGGTAGTTGATCCTACAACTTCCATCAGTAAATATAACAAAAGCCCTGAACCATCACAGTATGTAGTGAAATACTTTTTCCTACAGCTCCAGTTAAAACACCAGGCTCAGGTTCAAAGTAATCACTTTGAAATACAAAACAAACAACTAGAGCTGGGAAGGTGGCTCAGTGGTAGAGCGCTTGCCTTACATGCCTGAGGCCCTGGGTTCAATTCTTCAGCACCACAGAAGCAAAAAGAAAAAAGCTGGAAGTGGCGCTGTGGCTCAAGTGGTAGAGCGCTAGCCTTGAGCTGAAGAGCTGAGGGACAGCGCCCAGGCCCAGAGTTCAAGCCCCACGACTGACCCAAAAAAAAAAAAAAAACTAACTATATTTCTCAGAGTTTAAAATATCTTCTCTGTTTTGGAAAAGATTTCATTACAAGTAAATAATTCTTAAAATAAATAATATTTTCCCCTTAAAAATGTTTGCAATCATGACTGTCAAAAACCATTCTAAAGCCGGGCATGGGTAGCTCATGCCTAAAATCCTAACGACTCATGAGCTAGATATCTAGCAATCGCTGTTTGAAGACAGCCCAAGCAGAAAAGTCCCCAGGAGACTCTTATCTCCAATTAACCACTCAAAAAATGGAAGTGTCACTGTGTTCAAGTTGTAGGTCATTATCCTTGAGCACAAAGAGGCTCAAGGACAGCACCCAGGCCCCAAGTTCAAGCCCCACAACCAACAATAATAAAAAATCCTATCATAAAATTTAAAGATATATTTAAATTTTATATGAAGCAAATTTGGTATTAGTATTTATAACAATCCGAATCTTATATTTGTACTTGGTTGAAAAGTATAGAAGATAATATGGGCTAGAAAATATATTATTTACAGTAATATACCTCAAATCACTTAAATATCTTTCATTCATGTTTTTTCCTTTGGTGTGCCGGTGCAGAGGCTTGAACCCAGGGTCTCCAGCGAGCAGTTAAGTTTCTAGACAATACTCACAGGCACTCTACCTCTTCTACCTCAGGTGCTATACCTCCTCTTATCTGGTAAGAGATAAGAGTCTCTCCAATTTGTTTGCCCAGGTTTGTTGCAAACCTGGATTCTCAGATCAGTCTAGGATTATAGATATGAGCCACCAGAGTCAAACCTCTTACGTATTTTGATAACTAAGGACACATTTAGAACAGAGTATTAATGTCAAAGTGCTAAGCAGGATACTCACGTCCTCATATATGAAATTAACAAAGCCTTGGTGCAAATGGTCTCTTCTTCTAAAGAAATCTGTAAACAAAGAAATACTTTTAAAAATATTATCTAATTTTTAAAATTTTTTTTCCAGTTGTAGGGCTTGAACTCTGGGCGTGGGTGCTGTCTCTCAGCTCTTCAGCTCAAGGCTAGCACTCTACCTCTTGAGCCACAGCAACACTCCTGGTTTTCTGGTGGTTTATTGGAAGTAAAAGTCTCAGGGACCTTCGTGCCTGGGCTGGCTTTGAATCACAATCTCAGATCTCAACCTCCTGAGTAGCTAGGATTATAGGCATGAGCCACTGGTGCCTGGTTTAAAATTCTTAATTTCAAATATATAATGTATAAAGACTAAATAATTTCACATTCAAATAAGTCTCAAGTGACTTACTGCTTTAGGCAACTAAGATACAGAGAAAAATTTCTAAAACACAGCTATCACAATTTTCACAATCTATACTCATTAATTTTAAAGCCTTAGAACTCTAGATTTAACAGTAAACAAAGGTAACAACATTATTGTAAACTTGCAGAGAAATTACTAAAGAAAAACAGCTACACAATAGTAAACTGACTTTTAAATGACCAGTACCTGTCAATGCTCGAAGCTTTACACAGCAAGCAACATAATCATCAAAGAAAATTCTGCCATTCTTGCTGTAACGTTTAACAATAGCATGTAATGTCTGAGGACTCAACCTGTATCCTAAAAAAAAAAGATTGACAAGTTAAAACTTCTAAAACTAAATACCACAAGAACACTGCAACATTGTTTTTCATTAAACTTGTAAGTATATTAATTTTCAACATTCATCTATAAAAATATATTATAAAAACATATTCATATTTAAAATAATATGTCAAAAACTTCATGATTAACATTGCTTTGAGGTACTTACAGTAATAAAATTCTAGCTTGTAATAAATTCAAATCTGAGAAAAAAATTAATCTTTTTGTGTTTAAAATACAGTTTAACTGTGAAATGAAGAGGTCAAGAGGTATTTCACAGGTTTTTAACATTGTAATACTTAAATCGTTATATTATTTACAGAGTATAACAACAAGGATTGTTAGTAATCTTTACTCTCTCAAATCTTGTATTTCTTGTTGGAAGTGTCTTTGTATAGCTCAAAAGAATTTGAGGATTGGGGGCTGGGGGTTTAGCCCAGGGGTAGGGTGCCCACCCAGCGCATGCAAGGCCCTGGGTTCGGTCCTCAGCCCTGGGAGAAAAAAAAAAAGAAAAGAATTTGAGGATCAATTTGCTTATTTGAGTGTGGAAGACAATGGACCCTCTTGTACTACAGATGTACACTAATAAAATTAGTTTAATAAAACAATGAGATGGAGAGAAAAATATTGTTCCTAACTTTTTACAGGCTCACACTTGTAATCCTAGCTACTCAGAAGATCTGAGCCAGCCCCAGCAAGAAAAACCAAGAGACTCATCTCCAATTAGCCTCAAAAAAAACAAAGCTGGAAGTAGAGCCTGTGGCTCAAGTGGTTGAGTTCTAGCCTTAAGCCCAGAGATAGCATGCAGCCCCTCATGTCAAGTGCCAGGACCAGCACAAAAACAAACAAACAAATAAAAAATAACAAAAAAAAATCTCAGAGACTGAGATGGACTTTGATCCCCAAATTGAAATTCTACCAAGTTACAAAAGGTTTCAAATGGTAAGTACTAACTGAAGAAATACATTAACTATACTAAAAAAAAAAAAAAATCAGAACAAATAGATGTATAGAAGATCACTTTAAAAAAAAACTCTCATAGTTAAAATATTATCTTGTAGCTATGGATAGTTAAAATTATCTTTAGGTCAGTGGGGAAGCATCTGCCTAACATAACTCAATCCTTAATACCAAAGTGATTATAATAATAGTAGTAATCCTATTGTTAAGGTATTCAGTTAGAATATATCTAAACCTTGAACTGTTGATGAAAAATATGTTCTTTTATTAATTAGCAAATTGAAGTAATTAAGATTTATTTGCTGAAAGAACAAAGATAGCTTACACAGATCCTAAAGTATTTTAATTATTCTTACCCATAACAGCAATGGCTTGACTTAGTTCATGATGCTCTACTGTCCCACTTCGGTCTTCATCTATGGCCATGAAGTTCTGCTTCCAGGCATTAAGAGCTGCCCAAAGCTCCTTGAATTCACTAAATCCCATTTTTCCTGTATAATCTCTCTGAGTTTTATTAATAAAAATAAGTATAGGTACTCAAGAAATGTGACTCCAAACTCCACATCACTGACTGAAAACTAAGTCTTCTTCTGCAAAGTTAGTCTAATTAAGCGTATGAATAGATTTGTGTTTAAATATGGATCCTTCCAGACTTCAAACACACCTTAAAATGTTTTAAAGTCTCTAGCTTACTAGTTTATGGGCATGTATAGCTAACAAATGCCTTAATATTTAGAAAGCAGTATCTCCAGCCTGGTATCAATCACTCATGTCTGTATCATTCCTACCTAAACAATAGGCTAAGACATGGGATCCCAGGTGGAGGCCAGCCTGTGCACTAAAGACCAGAATCCATTGCTAAATAACCAACAAAAATCTGGACTGGCTGTAGTCATTGTAGTAATGGATCGAATGTCAGAACAGCAAGCCTAGGGTGACCATTCATGAGGCCCAGAATTGAAGCCATGGTGCAACAACAATAAATAAAAAAACAACAGTGCTATATGTTAGTTCTGTCTACTGCATTCAAGGATACATCCAACATGGCAATCATGATTCTGCAGGTTTCCAAACTGAAAGCTATAAAATAAATTCGATATTTGAATTGGAATCTACTCAAATTCACCTATAGAAAATTGTGACAATGTTCATCTTCAAAACAAAATATTTTGAGATTCATAACAACACACAATCACTATGATCAAACATTGAGCAATTATAGTAAAATATGACAAAAAGGTATTGTTAAATTACTCATATCTAGTAAGAACAATAATAAAATAAGTGAAAATTACTATGATAAAAGTATTAAAGAAAAAAGGTTTCATTCTCCCTACCGCAAATGGCAAAGTAAGATTTAAGTTTGGCTTTCATTGGCCTAAACTCTTTATGGTGACATTGAAGGGTTTTATGATCTGGCCCTTGTCTACCTCTCTGATGTCTTCAAGTGCTACTCCTTTGTGTGATCTAATTCCTTCATGATTTGTGATCTTTGGTCTGCACAATACGATCTTTAATTAACTAGCAAAATTTTAGGTTGGAGGTGTGGCATAAATGGTAGAGTGTCAGTCATGAGTAGGCAAACTAAACAAGAATGTGAAATGAAAGGCAGTGAAAGAATGAGAGAACACAGAGCACATCAGGGTGATGAAAAACAACATCTAACACTATCAATTTAAGGAACAAAAAAAGTATTATAAAAAGGTAAAGTAACAGCACATCATCATAATCATCACATAGTTGGGAACAGTACATACATCACAAAAATGATATAAATACTTTTTACTGATCCAACTCAAATTATTCTATAACCACAATGCAAGGATGGGAGAATAGAACCTGCTTGAGTAGACTTGAGGGATGGATGACGTTAAGATGAAAAGAATTAAAAGTTCTAAAGTAGACATGATCATACATGCCTGTAAGTTCACCATCCCAGCACGGAGACTGATGCAGGAGAACAATGGGTAGAGGCCGGCCTGGGCTAGATAGGAGATTCTTTCTCAAAAATAAATAAATGGGACTTACAAAAATCTCATAATTGCTAGGCGCCGGTGGCTCACCCCTGTAATCCTAGTTACTCAGGAGGCTGAGATCTTAAGATCACTGTTCAAAGCCAGCCCAGGCAGGAAAGTCTGTGAGACTCTTATCTCCAATTAAGCACCAAAAAATCTGAAGTGGTACTATGGCTCAATTGGTAGAGTGATCTCACCTTGAGCTAAAGAGCTCAGGGACAGCGCCCAGGCCCAGAGTTCAAGCCCAACAACCTATCAAAAAATATCAAATTGTCATTTTCATACTCATTGTATAACATCAACTGATAAGTATTCAACTGAAAACATATAATAATACAAGTATAATATTTTCAGGTCCAGAAGCAAATTTTAAAAGAATTAACTAAAAAAATTTTCCAGAGCTATTTCACATTACTGAGTGGCAAATGTTGGGAAGATGACAGTCATTTTACAATTATTTAACGCATTAAATGCATCAAACTATGTGCACCTATAAGTGTTACAATTTTTAATTGCTTTAAGTACAGGGATAGACGAATTAGAAATGAGATTCCTACTCCAATTACAAAAAGAAAGAAAATATGTTCTCACGAGAATAAGTTCCACTAATTCCAGACTGGGTCAAACACATCTGAAGTTCTTCAGCATCCACTTCACCATCCTGTTAAAAAAATATGTATTGTTCAAAACATTACCATCAACTGCAACATTCTAGAGATTAGTATCAACCAAGAAGACATATTACAGATTATCACACAATGAATTATTTTCTCTGCTTCTAAAAAGCACAATGTCATATTATATTGCAAAACTGTGTCTTGTGAAAGTCCCTGTACTTCCTTTTAAAAGATTAGAAAAAGGACTAAAGGTTTTCAGGAAAGTCTCTAAATGTGTCCCATTTATTTGGAATATTATTTCCAAAAGAAAACTATATACAGTGAATATATATTCCTCCAGGAATATTTCTCAGTCAACATGCATCTTGCCAGTCTCCTGATTACTGTTCAAATATTCTTGTTTGAATTAATGAAAAGGAGTTGTTTGGTTTTTTTTGTTTGTTTGTTTTCTAAGCAAGCAAGATGTCATAAAGAAAGAAACCTATTAACTGGTCTCACTATATGATCTCTATTTTTTTCACCAATACATAGTAAAATCATTCACTGCAAGTATCACATAGTTTGCCACAAATGCAAAAACAACTGTGAGAAAGGATCAAGCTGACCAATTTAAAACATGCTTCAAAACCACAAAGAAGTTTGGCTAACAATCCTTATAAACACCTATGAATCTTTGTTAATGAACTGCCAGAAAGAACTCCAATGATTCTAACTCAAATTTAAAACTACTGAGACATATTCATCTCAACAGACAATTCTTACAATATTCTCTGTGTAGAGAATCTTCGGTAATCGCTACTCAATTTAAATTCAATAATTAGAAAACTATATTTTGGGATGGGAACATTGCTCATTGCCTAGTATTTCTGAGGCCCTGGGTTTAAACTCCAGTACTGATATATATCTATATCTATATATATATAGATAGATAGATTTATGAACATACTTCTAATGTGTTCTGAGCAGAAATAAAAACTTCTTAAAAACCTATTAATTAAGTCTGACAGCTGCCACAGTCAATACCATCTCAGGGAAATGACAAACACAATGCCAGGCTGCTGTCGAATTGAAACAGTAAATTTCAAGACCTTTTTTTTTTCAAGCTGTTAAAATAGAAACAAAGAGTAGGAAATTACTTTTTATTAGTCCTCACGAAGAATGGCATTTTTCCACTTAAGTTAGACAAAAATATTTCATCAGTATACTATAATTTTTAAATCAAAAAAGTTAATTTTTAAATAGACAAAAGAAAAAGTAAAAATCTTATGTGTCAACATTCAATATTCTTTAAGGACTATTCATTGCTTAAAATATTAGAAATTCTCATTCAAATATAAATTATACTTAGAAATTTGAAATGAAATCCAGTAAATGAAAATTCATTTACTTGTGCTTTCATAGAATTTGAGAGTTATAGAAACCTCTGAACACCCTTACTGAAAGTTGTTTACCCAGAAGTGTAAACATTCTCGAAGCATACAACTTCATATATTTTATAATAATATCTGAATTAAGAAATAAGCACTGCTTCCCTAAATGTGCAGCAAAAAAGCCTAAATCATAATTTTGATTTACCAGTTAGTAATGATTATGATCAAGTACAGTAAATTTACTGTAAATTACTAAATTAAACTGTTTGCTTACTCATATATAAATAAAACAAGAGTACCTGCTTCATTCCTACCTTACAGTAGTGTAGCTACGTAAAGAAGTAGAAGTAAGGTACACAGTGAAGTTGAAATTGTTGGCATAGCAATATGTGTGGTATATATTTGTTGGCCAGGGAGAGAGGGAGGGAGGAAGAAAGGAGTGAGGGACAGAGGGAAATAGAAAGGGAGGAAGAGTAGGAGGGAAGCAGAATTGAGGGAGAGAGAAAGGGACCAGAATTTCCAACTATAATCTGATTATTAAATCATTACTGCTCAGAAAACACCATCATATATTATAAATTAATAAATATTAATATATTAGCACCCACTTGAAATCATTCTGAATTATCAATATTGGTAATTTCTAATATCTATCTGACAGTGATAGGTCAGTAGTGCAAGGCAATTTTTCCAATAAAGCAAAACTTAATGGAACTATCAAATAATCAACAATTAAATAATCAACTATCAACTTAGTATTGCTACTTATAATGTTGAGATAGTTAAGAAGTTTATGACTCAAATATAAAGGGTCAGTTAACATGTATTTATTTTCATTAAATGGATTCATTATATTGCCAAGTAGAGATGCTAGACTGATTATCAGTATAATACTATTTAAGAGTTCCTTACAAACAAGACAGGCATAATAAATTTAGCAGATAGATTTGCATAAAGTTGAAAACAGCAGAATATGTTATTACAGTGGTGTGAACCACTAAATGCTTATTGTTTTATAAGGGAAGTATGGGGTTGAGTGGAACAGAACATATAGCAACTTAATTATGTCCTCAATTTCTGCAGTTTTCCACCTGCTCTGTCAATATTTGTCACAAAGTCACTACAACAAGGTAACAATATGGCCACTGGACCTCCCTATCTTGAGTCCTTTTTCAAGGTAGGAAGAAGGAGATCAAAAGAAACCCAGAAAAATCTTCAAGAAATGCCTGTTACTTGGGAACAGAGGGCATCCCAAAGAAATACTACCTATATCTCAAGAGCCAGGTCAATAGCAAATGGAAACCATTTGTAACCACACAAGTGTCAGAGTGTTAGAAAATTTCAGTTTCCACCATAGAAGAAATGACAAAAAGGAAGTTGTCAGTGGGATTGGGATAATCAAAACAGAAGGTGGAGTTGGTGCCTCGTCTCATGCCTCTGATCCTAGCTACTCAGGAGGCTGAGATCTGAGGATCACGGTTCAAAGCCAGCCCGGGCAGGAAAGTCCGTGAGACTCTTATCCCCAATAAACCACTAGAAAACCAGAAGTAGCACTGTGGCTCAAACGGTAGAGCACTCGCCTTAAGCTGAAGAGCTGAGGGATAGTACCCAAGCCCAGAGTTCAAGCCCCACGACCGACAAAAAAAAAAAAAAAAAAAAAACAGAATGTGGACCACAAATACAAATTCTTTGCATAACTTCTTCCTAGGAAAGTAAAGGGACTTATTGAACACTCAGGTGAAGCAGTGTCAAACTTCAATGTCATCGAATTCTGTGAAATTTACCTACTTCAGCAATCCTCGTTGACCATTACTAAAAAACACTTGTAATCCTAGCTACTCATAAGTATGGATATGTAAGGATCATGGCTCAAAGCCAGTCTGAATAGGAAAATTCATGAGATTCTTATCTCCAACTAAACAGCAAAAAAGCCAGACATGGAGCTATATCTGAAGTGGTAGAACACAAAAGTTCAGGGACAGGGCCTAAGCCCTGAGTTTAAAGCCCCTAGGACTGGACTGACACAAAATAAATAAATAATAACTTTAAAAAGAGATAGGAACTAGAAGAATCAACCATGAATTCCTATCTTCCCATCGTTCTGGCCCTTGACTTTTTATTTGCCTTTTTCACTGTCTCCTGAACTTTTTCATTATTAAGCTTCTCCCCAAAACATCTCCAATCTACATGCTGCCTGTCTGATGTTCAGTCCCAACTTCCTCATGTGGTTTACATGTAGATCTTTCTCCAAAATCTCCCCAGCCCAGTTTCCATGAACCTATCATCATATTCTCTTTTGTTTGTTCATTTGTTTTTTTGGTCGGTCGTGGGGCTTGAACTCTGGGCCTGGGCATTGTCCCTCAGCTCTTCAGCTCAAGGCTAGTTCTCTACCACTTGAGCCACAGAGCCACTTCTGGTTTTCTGGTGGTATATTGGAGATAAGAGTTTCACGGACTTTCCTGCTCTGGCTGGCTTTGAACCGCGATCCTCAGATCCCAGCCTCCTGAGTAGCTAAGATTACAGGCATGAGCCACCAGCGCCTGCCCACAAAAATGCTCTCATTTCCCTTGATAATTATTACACATATAAATATGTGTAAATACAGTGTTCTCAAATATTTTATTAACAACCACAACTCAGTTTATCACTCTTCTAAGAAATGTTTATGTACCAAGAAACAAATAGAACAGGTGTTACAACATATACTAAGAAACAGTAAAAGACAAGTTCATTTATCTCAATAACAAACACTAATATAAGTTCTCTTTAATTTGTTTATCTTAATTGATGTACAATTTATATTCGATATCACATATATAAACTATGCTTAAATTTACATTTACTTTTTTTTTTTTTTTTTGGTAGTGGGGCCTGAACTCTGGACCTAGGCGCTGTCCCTCAGCTCTTCAGCTCAAGGCTAGCGCTCTACCACTGGAGCCACAGTGCCACTTCCAGCTTTTTCTGCTTATGTGGTGCTAAGGAATCGAACCCAGGGCCTCATGCATGCATGCAAGGCAAGCATTCTACCACTGAGCCCCTTCCTTCCTAGCCCCCTACCTTTTAGTGGTACTGGAGTTTGAACTCTAGTCCTAGCACTTGCTAGACTGGCATTCTGTGCCACTGGGTCACACCTCCAGGTAATTTTTGCTGGGTTTTTTTTTTGGGGGGGGGGGGTCAGTCATGGAGCTTGAACTCTGGGGCTGGGCTCTGTCCGTTAGCTCTTCAGCTCAAGGCGAGCACTCTACCACTTGAGCCACAGCTCCACTTCCTTTGCTGGTTATTTTTAAGATAGGGTCTCTTTGGGCCCAGATGAGTACCTGGGTGTAAGCTGTTCATATGTTCAGGACCCCTGGTAACTAAGCTAACAGACACATGGCACCATGTCTAGCTATTCATTGTGAAGATGTTTTGTGAACCTTTTACCTGCCCCAGCTGGTCTCTATCCTAATAACCTCAACCTCCCAAGTAGCAAGGATTATAGTGTGAGCCACAGGCACTTGGCTCATTTATTATTTCTTCATGATAAAATTTCAAAATACTTTCTTCTCACTTTTTCCAATGCACAATGTATTATTGTAATGTACAATCACCCTTCTGTAAAAGAGTACCCTAGAACATCTCACTCCTACCTAATTATACCTTGGGACTTAGAAGTAATTCTTTAATGTGTCTGAAATGGTCACATATGATATAGCATAAAGAGCTAAATTTATTGTTAAATGAACTGTTAATCAATTGCTTCAAATAGTTAATTTAAGAATCTACTCTTTCTCCATTGACATAAAATGCTACTTTTACTGCAACCTGAATGTAGTATGGCCCTTTTACCTTTTTGTAGTATGTGTTTCCTTTTACATCCGTATCACACTATCACAAGAATTATACAGTCATTTTCCACATAGTACCTTCTCAATCAATAATAGGCCACATAGTAGGTGGCAGATGGACCCATAGTATAATAATGAAGCTGAAAATTTTCTATCATTTAGTGCAATGGTTTGAATGAATGCCCCCCCAAAGGTCCATCTGTTTAGAGAGTGTTCCTGAAGGTAATGCAGTAGAAAGGTGCAGGACTTTCAGAAATGGGACCTGGTGGGAGGTCACCAAGTCATAGGAGTATGTCCTTGAAGATGACTATGGGGTTTGGGTATCATCTTCTATCTGACTTCTTGTTTATCCATTATGCAATCCCACCATGGTGCACTGCCTTGGCCAGAGGCCCAAAGCAATGAACCCACCCAACAAATGACACCTACAGAACCATGAGCTCAAGTCATCTTTTTTTCTAAGTTAGTTGTTTCAGGAATTTCATAGTAATAAAAAGATGACTCTCTATACATATATGTGTGGGTGTTTACACATACTAAATATTAAACTATGCTGTGCATTATTCACAAGTTTATGGTGATAACTATGTAAGCAAATCTATAGCACTACCAGTCACATAAAGATATGGCACATACAGTCATGTACATGAATAATATTTGAAAACGGGTAATAAGCAACCATATCAGTAAGTTGTATCCTTATATATTATATACTCTATTAGCATTTTAAAGTGCACTTCTTCAACTCAAATAATTTTAATGCTTTTCTGAAAAGTGTGCCATATTGCAGTGGCAGCAAAACATCATACATTTCATTTACTGTAAAACGATTGACCTATGTATGTATGTTATGTATGGTATAGTATTTCTGTATGTAAATTCTGTAATTTTTATACAAAAATGAAATTGCCTAATGACTCAGAACATATTCTTATCATTAAGCAAGGCATAACAGTGATTCTTTAAATGATTTTTTATAATGTTTTATTATAGTTTATGATTTTTTAGTCTTTTTATTATCTTTAGTTGTACAAAGAAGTTTTATGAACAAAAAGTTTTATGAACACAATACATCTTTATCAATAACTTTGTCAAGTAAAAATGTTGTAAAGAAAAAAAGATAAGAATTTGATTCAAATAACAGTTGGAAGAAATTGATACTTTATAATAGTGTTCTGCCTCAGTGTTTTGCCTATACTGCAGTGAACACAGATTTCTGATACACGACTATTGGTGCTACTAGAAAGTAAGCAGCCAATTCTGCAGCAGTGTCAATTGAGCTCTGATACTATCTACCGGGAGACAGCACCTGATCTCACAGGCTGAGAATTCAGTCCCTACAATAGTCCAAGGCCAGGCCTCCAGCACTTCTGGATTATCAGTTATAAATTATAGTTCCCATGCTGCTTCCTCCTGTGCAGTGAATTTTCTAGAATGCTTCCCAGAACTCAGGGGATCACTGCACTGAAGAGACACACAGGGCAAGATATGAAGGGTACTGAGAGCAGTAGACTCCGTTCATGCAGTTAGGTATGCAATTATCCCTGCCCATGAATAGCTTATTGTTTGCTTTTGTGTGTAAGCCTTCACATCTTACCTCATCCAACTCTTTAAACTCTGTGCTCTTTGTGTTTTATGAAGATTTCAAGGCATAGACGTGATTATTACCAGGTTAAGCAGGAAAAACCAGGAATGGGTCATCCTTTGGCATTCTATGCAACATCTCTTCCTACAAGGTAGATGTTAGCTCTCTGAAGGAGAGTGTTAAGACATACTATCAAACCAGAATTTCTTTATAGACATCTAAGTGCAGAAGATTAGATTTTTCTATGATCTGGATCGAGGAAGAAAAATTCCAGTTTCTATGCCTTGACTGGGGGAGAGGTTCTGAGCCATGGGCTGTGGATAAAAATAGAATACAAACACACATATGTTCAGACAAAACAAAAGTGTGTTTATATATAAGTATATCTATGTACATAATGAGGAGGCTATAAAAACACATATAAAGTGTATTCTTTCTCATCTCGAATATTTACTCAACACTTTATGCTGATGGTTGAAAAAATGACAATGTCATAATGTATATAAAATCATTTTAAGATGAATGTAGTGTTATATCAAACAGTAGAAATAAGAATAAAAACTTCATCTGACCACAATAATTGCACATGTTCAAGTACAACTCACACACAGAACTCACACAACTTGAATTGCCAGACTCACACCGCCCTTTTAATCGTAACATAAATCAGGCTTATAAACAGCTTGTCGAAAGGTACTGCAAACTGATAATATCCCACTAAGACAGTATTCATCTTGATTTTTCATTAAAAGTAGAAAGTATATCTCAGTGTTTTCTTTTTTATTATATCTTGCTTGCATATAAGTCGAAATTACAAAAAAATGCTTATTTAACTTCACTTGGGAAAAATGCAACTTCTCTGTTGGAACAAAGTTATAATGTTTTCAAGTGATTTACTACTATATTATGTGATATATTTAGGTTTTAATTGATGTATACATATATGTGTATGTATATATACACATTTATAAATATATACAGACACTTCAATGAACTTACGACCAAGTTAAAATATTGTTCCTTGGATATGTACTAATTGTTCTAAAAGTCTCTAACAGTTATTCAGATCTCCAATATTCATTTTTCCCTGCTATAAATGGATGTTCAGGCTATATTTACTTAGCTTCATGTTGACTCAATCATTCACAGAGAATAGAATGTTTCTCAATGAATGTCAAATATAAAGAATAATTTAAAGTATTTAAGTACTTAAGTTTGGGCTAAATACTTAACTACTGGTAAAAGAAGCCAGTTCTTGAATAACTGCAGCTAGAGTAGTGGCTTCCCCACATTCTCTTGCAATAACAAAATATCTGATGTTGGTAATATAAAAGGAAAATAGATTCCATTGGCTCAGGCTTTTTTCTGGGAGAAATGAAGGCCTGGGCATCTCTCTGCTTTTAATGAGAGTACACTGTCACTGGCAGAAAAGCTGAAAAGTCAAGTAGTCATGTGAGGAAAAAAGTATATTTCCAAGAAAGAATAGGAGTAGATAAATCATTTAAAAATCCACTCTTATGGTAACTACAGGAATACTGATCAGTTTTTTCAATGAGGGTAAACCTCTCAATCAAATTACCTCTTAAATATTAGGCTATTAAATGTCCTTGGCAAGTAAATGTCAAGGTGAGTTTTAGTGGGAACAAGACACACCAACCCAAATGCAGGAAGCATATGGGTAAAGAAAATGACCATTTCCTCACTTTGAAAATGTTTCCTCTTCTCATCAAAACAACATATTAGACATCTTACAAACAGCCCTTTGTAAAAATGAAGTGATTCGGGGTGCTCTTTTAAATTTCAAGAACAATAGTTGTCTAGCTAAGAATTTCATATATATTTAAAATGGTACACTAAGTAAAATAATTGATATTTCTGTTCCATAGCCAACAGTTTTACAATCTGGTATTTGGCACTAATGGTAACATCTTACCTGTCCGGCCACCGCAGTGAAGTAGGTCCACATGGGGTCACTGCTGTGTGAGTATGCTGTGTATCCAGGAGGGCCACCAGCAAGCAGGGGTGGACATGTTCCTGGGACTGGCTGTCCTGGGATCTGACCATTAAAATTTCCAAACTACAAGAGTGGAAGGAAAGAAAGTTTAGAATTCAAAAATGTCATTGATCAAAGTTGATTTAAAAGAAAATATTCACTACAGATCTACTGAAAAGTACACATGTGGTTATCAAAAGCTTCCAACTAAATAGTCACCAATGCCTTCACTAAAGAACACTGGATACCTCATGTAATGTTTCATGAATGTATGCTACCTATAATAAGATAATAAAAAACGAAACTTCTAAACACAAGAACATGAAGAGCAGTTTTTAAACGTGTTTACCATCCGCTGCAGAAACACACACACATAAAAACACGTACGGTTCCACCTACAGTTAAACTAAGATGTATGCCCCAAGACACATACTTGGAAGAAAACATAGTAAACAAAATAAAATCGTGGTCTAACTAGAGGAAGTTGCATAAAACTGAAACACCCTGTCTGACAGAAAAGATTTTTTTCCAAAAAGTGACAAGTAAAAATTCAATTAAGTGACTCTATCAATAACAATCTTTTCTAAAGCTAATAAAGTACCAAGATTACTAGCAACAATATTAATAAGTACCTAATATATAAGGCTATTGTACTCCAAGTACTATCCTAAGAACTTTCCATCTATTATATTGATTTTTCACAACTCAATGAAAAATGGAAGTATTATCTCCTTTCTTGTAGTTAGGTTTCCTGAACTGGTAAACATCAAGTATGTCACGCAAGAAGTAACCTGTGTCCCCATATTGGGGTGGTGTGACCTTAGGGGCTATAACTTACTTATTTCTTACTATGGCTATGGTTGCTTTTTTTGTTTTTTTTTTCACTTTGGACTTGGACTATGTTTTCTAATACCTTTGCAAATCATTTTACTCAGCATTTTTATGAGTACAGAGGAGGAAGAAGTATTAAGGGTATTCATCATTCCATTCAGAACAAAAATTATCCTTGAAGAATGATGAGAAGTTGTCAGAGACAGAGAGAGAGAAAAGAAGTGTCTTCTATATTCTCTCCCAACTCCTCTCTTGGTCAATATTGGGCCTTGACCTCAAAGACTGAGTGCTGTCCCGTAGCAACAGTAGGACGAGTTCTCTACCACTCACCATGTTTGTCTTTCTTTCTTTCTTTCTCTTTCTTTCTTTCTTTCTTTCTTTCTTTCTTTCTTTCTTTCTTTCTTTCTTTCTTTCTTTCTTTCTTTCTTTCTTTCTTTCTTTCTTTCTTTCTTTCACTGAAGTCAGGGAGGAAATATTATGGGAGGAATCTATTTTTGGGAAAATCCTACCTACCTTCCCTTCTGAATTTCCCAAACCAACTTCCTTAAATGCAATGATTTGATATAGCAATCAAAGAAAAGATGGTTAAAAACTATCACTCCTCCATCCAAAGCCACTGTCCCCTGAATCTGTAATGGACATTTCACCTTCATAGGGGAGAACAGGGTAGGAAGCACCGTGTCAGCTCCAGGATTTGGTCTTGCAGAACGTGATGAGCACATTCTGTTCTGAAGAACAGAAGAGCCATGAGGAAGAGGAGACCAACTTCCAGAGGACTGGATCCCTAGCAAGGAAGGCTAATCCAAGATGCCTGAATAAATTCATCTTTCAGCTTTCTTCTTGATAGCTTCAAGTAAATGAAAACTGACCATGAGACAGGCAGTTATTTTCTAATAATATGATTGAAAAAAAACTATTTTTTTTTATGTTTCTGAATTTTTAGTAATATCTTTGGTCCTTAGCTTTCTTTCCCAAAATTTTAAAATTACTTGGTCTTTTTTATGGTTAGTTAAGACTAAACCAAGCATATATAAATTGCAGCAATTCCCAGTAGTCAGAAACTGAATAAGTAAGAGGCAAGTAATCAATATTTAACCTCACCCTCAGTTTATTACCAGAACAAACCTCAAAGTTCTTGAAGATAGATAGATAGATAGATAGATAGATAGATAGATAGATAGATAGATAGATAGATAGATAGATAGATAGATAGATAGATAGATAGATAGATAGATAGACAGACAGTCAGATAGGTAGATAGATAGATAAAGATTACATACCAGCTCCTATCATATAAAAAACAAACATGAAATGTTTCTTTTTTTAATATTTACAGAGCTGACATTTTTTCCTTTTATTCTTTTTTTCTTACTTCAATATCTCCAAGTTTTTCTTTTTTTCTTTATTTTTGGGGGGGTCTGGTTGTGGGGCCTGAACTCTGGGCCTGGGCGCTGTCCCTCAGCTCTTCAGCTCAAGGCTAGCGCTCTACCTCTTGAGCCACAGTACCACCTCCAGCTTTTTTCTTTTTGCTTATGTGGTGCTGGGGAATTGAACCCAGGGCCTCATGCATGCAAGGCAAGCTCTCTACCACTCAGCCACCTTCCCAGCCCTCCAAGTTTTTCATATGTAAAACTTACATTTGAAAATATCCATCACCCTAGCATACTTAGCATATATCACAAGTATGCATAGAACTAAATTTCTTTTATTTCTTTCTGTGGCATTATTGGGCTTTAACTCAGAGCCTTACACTCTTTGCTTTTCACTCAAGGCTAGTGCTCTTAAGCCACATCTCCATTTCAAGCTGTGTGTGTGTGTGTGTGTGTGTGTGTGTGTGTGTGTGTGTGTGTGTGTGTGTGTGTGTGTGTGTGTGTGTGTGTGTGTGTGTGTGTGTGTGTGTGTGTGTGTGTGTGTTCCTGGGCTTAAACTCAGGGAACTGTCACTGAGGGATTTTTACTCAAGGCTAGTTGTGTGTGTGTGTGTGTGTGTGTGTGTGTTCCTGGGCTTAAACTCAGGGAACTGTCACTGAGGGATTTTTGCTCAAGGCTAGTTGTGTGTGTGTGTGTGTGTGTGTGTGTGTGTGTTCCCCTGCTTAAACTCAGGGAACTGTCACTGAGGGATTTTTGCTCAAGGCTAGTTGTCTACTTCCAGCTTTTTGGGTGGTTAACTAGAAATAGGAGTTTCATGGACTTTCCTGCCCAGGCTGGCTTTGAACCATGATTCTAAGTATCTAGTAAGTATCTAGGATTATAAGTGTGAAACACTAACACACAGCTTTTCTTTTTTTTTTTCTTGGTAAATTAGAGATAAGAATTTTATGGACATTTCTTCCCAGGCTGACTTTGAACTGCAGTTCTCAGATCTCTACCTCCTGAGTAGCTGGGATTACAAGTGTGAGCCTACAGTGTCTAGACAATCTACAACTGAAAACTTAAGTGTGTTTTATTTCCTGAGACCAAAATCAAACAAAATTCCATTAATTATAATTCTTATTAATATACAGTTAGTCAAAAGAAAAACAACCAAATTTGAGAAACAATTATTAAACAAGTAAAAATGTATTTAAGTGTATCTACTAAGTAGATTAAACATGTAGTTCATTAGATAAAACTATGTTAATAAACAGATATTGCAATGAACACTTAAAAGTTTATAATTTTGTTAAATGAAGAAACATCAATGAAGAGTATATTGATTGTAATTAACAGGATTGTTAAATGAGCTTAAATACCTCATTAATATGCTCCAAGTTAAGCAATACAAATCATTTTTGAGTGTGCATGCCAGCCCTGGGAATTCAGGTTAGGTCCTGGGTACTGACCCTGAGTTTTTGCTAAAAGCTAGTACTCCACCACCTTGAGCCACAGCTCCAGTTCCAATTTTCTGGTGGTTAATTGGAGATAAGAGTCTCACAGACTTTCCTGCCCAGGCTGGCTTTGAACCAGAACTGAGATCCTCAGATCTCAGCCTCCTGAGTGGCTAGGATTATAGATGTTAGCTACCAGCAACAGGCTTAGCAATGCAAATTCTATCATATATTTAATCCAGCATACATATATATATATATATACATATATATGTATATATATATATATTACATTTAAAGGAATCAGCAGCTTGAAGGTACTTCTCTTTCCAGTTACAAATGATAACCATGAGAGGAGGTGAAAAGAGCTGCTATGTTTTAATAGAGAAGAACATTTAAATGTTCAAATACATTCCTATGTTTCCTTTGACAAAAGTGGAGTGGATAAGTAGCAACTTCTACCAATAAAAATCTGTCACTCCAGCCACTATATTTCTAATCCAATGCTTCCATCTGAAGAATATATATAGAAGGTGGTGAAAAATTTAAAGTCCCAGGTGTTTATGTTGTCTGTACTGGTCTTTGAAGGAGACTTTATCTTCCTTAGGCACTTTAAAGTACCTTGGTAAATTTAAGGACAAATGAAGGATAGACAAAGTGAGAAATGCCAAATACAATTCAGGAAAGTTTTTCAAGCAAATCAGCTTCAGTAGAGTATTTAACTCCAAATAGAGGATGTAGAGATTCATTACCTTCAAACATAATTGCCACTTAACTTCCAGGGATGAGTAGGTGGTTTGAAGACAGCTACTCTAAGCCAAACTCAACTTCCTTATTTAACCAACAAAGCATAATTTCTCTGTTGAGGTAAAAGCAAACTAATAAAAACAAAGCATGTTATACTCTGCCTACTTTCAATGGCTCATTGGGCACTCCCACTTTGTAACCAGAATGTGTGACCAGGCTTTGAAGATCACTGCTGTAACAAATACTGAAGATTTGGGTTCCTTCGCAGAAAGGAATGACCCACAATTACAACTCATAAATCTCAATGTGATGTAGGACAGTTAGTAAATAAGAAAGAATAATCTTCTCCCCCCCAAAAAAACAAAGTCTCGGAAAAAGAAAAGAAACACACAACAGATGGTCCTTGGTATAACACAAAAGTTTAGGAGCTGTTTAGAGCACCTCTTAATTTATTCATGAGCAACTTAAAAAGGAAGAACAAAACAAAACAAGAAATGCCCCCCCCCCCCAAAAAAAAAATCAGAAAGAGGATCTGTTACTGGAACAAGGAAGGTGTGTTTTGTTTCTCTCTTCAGAAAAGAAATTTTAAAGCCACGCCACAGTCTGAACTCCCCCGAAGACAGGTGGTGCTGGTCCTCAAGGACTAGAACACCTGCCACTCCTGCATTGCCTCCCTCCCTCCCCGCCCCCGCCCCAGCCCGAGCGCCCCGCCACCAGGCCCAGGCCTGGCCCCGGCCTGCACCGGCCCCGCCCGGCCCGGCCCACTCCCCGTGGTGGCCTGACACCACTTAGGACCGCCCGCTGCCCGGGGAGGATGCTGACTGAGGAGGGTGGACCCCGCAGGGTGGCACCTCCCCAGGGTCACTACACCCCGAGAGCACAGAGGCCGCTGCGAAGCGGCCAGGACTCACCCATCCTCCGAAACCTGGGTAGGCCATGAGGCTCCGACGGAGGTCTCTTTCACCCTCAGTCTGTCTGTCCCGCGGGAGAAAGGCACAAGGTCCGGTGCAGGTGCCTCTGCCCAGAGCTGCCCCCCTTCCAACCCGCCCCGCTGGGGTCCAGCTCCGCCCTGCCAGGTTCTGATTGGCTGAACCCAGCCCACCCCTTCCCGGAGTCGAACCTTACTCTTCCTCGTCTCTGATTGGTTACATCCTGTCTCCTGGCGCCCAGTTTGTGCCTGCTTTGCTCTCATTGGCTCAACTTAAGTTCTCACCCAAGAAGCTTTTTCAGCGGTAATTTCCCCACCCTCTGTGGAAGAGTTCTCTAGGCCATTAACTCCTTGAGTTTCTTTTCTCTGTAGAAACTCAAAACCGTGTCCAGTTAATGAGTTGTTTTAACCTATTCCTAGACTGTAGCTGAACTTCAAGTAACACATCCGTGAGTTTCAAAACACACTTCTATAGTGTTGATGTCACACCAGAAGTTTAAAGTCAAGACTACAGCTAGGCCCCAGAGGCATACACCCTTGACACCTTACTTAAGATAAGTTGTAGTAGAAATGTACAAATGGGCTAGTATTTGTACTCTCGTAGATAAATTATACTCACAGTTGTCAGATGAAGCAAAAGGACGTTTATTCAACTTTGACTTTAAAATAAAGTTGAAAATGCAGTGTAAATATGTCCTAGGTATGATCTACGTCCCATACTTTCAGATTTTAAAGGCTGTTTACATGCTGATAATGTGTTTCCTAATTATACATACCAAAAGAATCGCCTGATAAAAAGTTAAAGGTTCAATTGTTTTTCTTCATTATGTAAGAAGGATTGACAACTCTAAATTTTGTAGCTTTAGCTTTAATAAACTTGGATTTTTAGCTTAGAAACAAAGACAAAAGTATTATTTTGCATTTTCTCTGAAGAAATAAGTTAACATTTTTTTGAAAATGGAAGGCTGTCTTTTAAAAAAGTGTTAATTAGCAGAAGAAATTAACCTTGCAAAGCTGAGTAACTTAACTTGCTCAACTACCCTGCAGAGGAAGAAAGTGTTGGACCTTGTGAAACAATTGTTATCAGTAAGAGGCAGAGAGAAAGGAAGATTGCTAATGTCCAAGCTACTTTTGAGAAAGTTTCAGTTCCTGTAACACAGTAGGAAATACTTTAGCTAATAAGGTTAAATTATTTGGATAAATAAATTGGAAGAGAAGGATAGCAAAACTTATGTGATAAAAGAATGTGGAACACATTATTAAAGTACCACAAGTGGTATTAAAAAGCAGAACAAATTGCCAAATTTTGTTCCAACTGATCACATATTCAAAGAAATGCTTAGGAAGGATTGAGTGATTGTATTTACACTGTTTTTCTAAATCAAAAGTCAGAATGGTTGTGCATCTTCTTTTGGTAAATGTACCATTAATGATGTATTGCAGTTGTATACATTAGGAGTCAGATTTCTGTGAGGTCTCATGCATTTCTGCATATCTAACTTCAAAGACAGTTTTCTCTCCAAGACAAAAATGTGGATATGATTGCTACCATCCCTTTTAAGACACAGCTTTCCTTATATGGACTTCCTTCAGTGTGATAACAGATTCTGGTCAGCTCTGCTTTGTCCTGTGGGACTCTTGTGCTTTGACTAACAAAGTCCTTTCTCTCTGACCCAAAAATTCCATGCCTTATGCCAAATTCTATGAGACAGAAAGGCTAACTTGTTAGTTTGCAAATAGAGTGAAATATCAAATCCTTTAGAGCTCCTGGCAATGTATCTGTTTTTTTTTTTTTTTTAGAGAAAAGGCTACCCAGGAAAGCAACTACCACAGAGTAACCACCACAGAGTAGATACAGAGAGGATTTCAAGTGCAACAAAAATCTCCAAAAATGGAAGGTTTCACTTATAAATTTTCTGGTATTAAAAATAATAAAAAGATCCAGGTTGATTTTAAAATATTAGTAAAATTTGCTTTCATGATTCACTTAGTGTTCTATGAACAATAACACTTTATTAAAATATAATGTACTAAAGCCAATTTTAAGTCATGTAGTTGTCTTTCCAGAACAATGCATGCTGGTCTAGTGTGTGTGTGTTCTTTATTATTTTATTTTATTTTTTATTATTTTATTATTTTATTGTCAACACCTTGACAGAGGGGTTACAGTTACATAAGTAAGGCAATAAGTACATTTCTTGTTGAACTTGTTACCCTCCCTCATTTTTCTCCTTTTTTCCCTCCCCCCACCCACCAAAGTTGTACAGATCATTTCCAACATATTGTCTTGTGCATATTGTCCTTTGTATCTGTGCTTGATTTAGGTACCCTGGTATTGTATATATGCTTATCTGAATTAGGGAAGAGAAGGGAAACAACAAAATAGTGAGATATAGTTATATTTTTGTACAATGAAAACTACACACAACAGTCACTGTGTGTTTTGAGGTGTTATTTTTTTAAATAGAAATATACTGGATGTATAATACTATTATCTCCAATTTATGAATGTGAAAAGTAAAGTGGAGAATTATATTTCTCTTACAGTTGCATAATCAGTAATAAAGCTGAGATTAAAACCAAGCATTTTGGCCAGAGAATGTGGTCTCATACTGTATTTCTACTTCTTCCCTACCTCCAATTATAGCATTTCAAAGTATAATAAAAAGTCACTCCCAAAACATAAAAAGGGAAGGTAAAGGATAGGAAAAATCTCAGTATGAAAAATATCTAGAGTAATAGATAAGGAAATACATTTGTTTTTACCAAGAGGAGTCAATCTAATCACTTACATTATATACTACACATGCTCACATGAATGCCTACCTATGGAATTCCCTCTGAACTTTGATGGCCTATGGACTTAGATATTTAGTTAATTATCTTACCCTCCCAAAAAAATCAAAAAAGTTAAATTGATTATGCTTATCCTACCTACTGGCTGCCACCTAATTGCCTCTTTCCCTCTATATGAATGGAGTGTCAGGACACACATATGAGAGGTAAGAACACAAATCTTACTACTGCTTATCAAAGTTTCATTGCAGAAGCAGAGCCTTTCCCTCATTGTGATAGTCAACTTTTTGCTGCTGTGTGTTTAACAACTTTCAGGGGAAAGGTTCATAGTTTCACATGCTTTAGTCCATGGTTAGCTGGCTTCATGGCTTACAGATATGTGGCAGGACAGAAAAATCATGATGGAAGGGCCTGGTGGAAGAAGTAAGCTCCCCTCATGGTGGCCAGAAAGCAGGGGGGAGGGGGAAAAGAGAGAGAGGGAGAGAGAGAGAAAAGGAAGGACTTGGAATTCCATGTACTCTTCAAAGACACACATTCAATGGCCCATTTCCACACCTAGGCTTACCTTCCAAGATCTCATTTAGCTGAATGAACTAGACCATGGACGAAACCAGCATCCTTATGATCCAATCACTTCTGAATAGTGCCACTAGTTTAGGACCAAATCTTCAACACATGAGTTCTTTGGCACATATAAGTCATTTCCTATTCAAGTCTTAATACTCATATAAATCATTTATACTAAATATTTAAATAAAACTTATCAACTAATGAGAATGAAAAATAACACAGGCTGTTTTCTGTCACAAAAAAATCTAATTTACCTTGCATAATGTGTTAACTAATTACATTGCCCAATTTATTTATTCAGCAGTGAGTTATTGAACACATGTAATATAACACTACTTTAGATAGGAAAAAAAAATACAGCATTAAAGAGGAGGAGGAGTGATTGTTCATGCCAGTGAAGAGCTTACATTCAAACAAGGAGAAAAGACAGTAATAGTAAGACAATGAATATGGAAATTACACAGTATGTAAAAAGATGATAAGTGCTACTGGGAAAAAATGAAAATTACGGGTTGGAAAATGACAGAATAAGTCACAGGATTAAATAGAATACTAAACATAGCCTCATTATAAAGGTAAATTTAGAACAATAACCTGAAGGACATGAGCAGGTTGTGTTCATAGATATCTGTCAGAAAAAAAGTGCCAGGAAATATTAAAGCTAAATTCCCAAAGCAGGAGTTTGAGTGAACTGTTTGATAATGGCTAGGAGTCCTGTGGCTTTGGAGTAGATTAAGCTAACTAGAGAGTAGTAGAAATAATTATAGAGCAGGGCCATTGAAGCAGATCTTTTCTCTCACATCTTCTATTCCTACTCTAGGTGACACAGCAAACCACTATGGAACATAGTATGACTTAATTTAGAAAAGATTGTTCATTCTGCTGTGGTGATTGTAAACTGAAGCAAGATCTGTGAACAATCTGTTTGTAGCCTACAAAGTATGGGGAGAAATGGAGATTGTTAGTCTAGTAGTAAGGTAAAACCAGAAGTATTTCCTTAAGCTTCTAAATTTTCCCTTTAATATCCTGGGGAAACCTGCAGAAGCAGCTATTTGAGATGGAACCAAATCAAGAATCAGTATTGAACATGTTAAGTTTGAATTGTCTGTGAGATTAACTGACTGGCTCAGACGAATTGTTAGTCTGGAAATGAATAATTGAACAAGTGAGTCCTGCTGCAAACCACTCAATACTCTTCAGGGACTGTGTTTTATTCTTCCCTTCATATGAATCAACCATTGAGAAATGACAAACAACTCTCCACCACACTCCTAGGCTGGAAAACTGATCCAGAACAATTTTAACTGAGAACTAATTGATACTGCTGGCTACGAAAGTGGAAGGGGCCTGAGAAATTAATGCCTTCTTGGCATCATTGCTCAAAAAAAAAATCAATGAATGTTAGAATTAACTTTATGACTCAGTGGATTAAATATATAGCTTATTACATATGCAAAATAATTATGGTAACTTCTATATCTGTGTAGCACTTGAGAAAGCTCACACAGTGTCTTATTCGGCTCATGGTCTAATGACAGAATACCATAATGCAAACAACTTAAACGATTTGTTTCTCATTATTCTATAAACTGGAATTCTAAGATCAAGATTTCTTGGGTTAGTGCATGAACATGGGTCAATCCTTGCGAACAGCTGCTGTCTCCCTAAGTCCTAATACCATATCTGCTTGGTAGGTGCACTAATCTTAGTAGAGAAACCACTTTATGACCTTATCTAACCCAATGACCACTTAAA